CCTTTAGAAAAAAAAACCCAGAGGTGTTCAAACTTGACAGCTTTAAGACTTGTGGACTTCAACTCCCAGAATTCCTCCTCACACTCTTCATCTTGATGATGTGTATCCGGATGGGGGGTGGGAGCTGGTTCTAAACGGCATGGTAGATTTGTGGAACGTCTTCTATAGAAGAGGTTAGAACTGGCAGGAATTCACCCCTGATTCTCTCCCTTAATAGCCTTCCTCCACATCAAGGTATCCTTTACTTCATTCTATTTCTATATTTACCTTTAACACTGTGCTCCATTAACCCACTCTCCTGCCATTTTCATTGCCATGTTCTCTGCCTCTGGGTTCTCTGGGTATAGCATTTATGGGTATGTCAGTGGTGGGTTGCAGTGGTGGGTTTACCGGAGCCTGCCCAGAGCACTGGGTACCATTCCGGTATGGTGCTCCAGAGGGCCCACCCACCCACGCTCATTACCTGTCTTTAAAGTCTTTGGTGCTTCCACGCACTGCACATACAGTGCCTGTGCAATGCTCTGCTGAGCAGCTGGAGCATCGCGGAGGTTTGCAGTGGCATCGCTGGACAGTATGATGCATGCACACACTAGTTAGAACAGGATCCGGAACCCACCACTGGTATGTGTGTATATTTGACCATGTTTATCAGTAAATTTCTGTTTTAGTAGTTTCTTTTTTTGTCTGCAAGTGTGCTTGGGTGTGTGCTTGGATTTGTCAGTGGATATGTATTGTCTTCTCACCTTCTCCCCTGAGTTCATAAGCAGCATACAAATCACAATGTATTAGATTGCCTCTAGTTTAAGTGGATACCTGGATAGACAGACCATTGTTTTCATTCTTTACAAGATTTTGCATTAGCATGGTTTTTTCCAGATGTATTTGTTGAAAGCACTTTAGATGGATGTTTCCTATTTGTGATGAAGAACAAATATCTATGAACATTCACTTTAGTCAGTAAATATCAAATGATACAAAATGATAGTGGAGTCCTGATCCAATCAGGCCTCTTTATACCATATTAAGTTGGCATTTTGTCCAAAATTAGATACTTTGCATAGAAAATAAAGTGGACAACCCACATAATTTCCTGAACTGGACCTTTACTCTTACTGTTCTTGTTCTCCTCCTAACCTTATGATGTCTCCCTCTTTCTTATAAATTAACTGGGAATACACCATACTTTTCTCACTTTAAAGTTAGAAAATATCTGCACAGTTAAAGATCAGGAAAAATAAGCCTATCTTAATGTATACCATTGTACTCAAAAAAGACGTTATATTTCTGAAGAATTCTTTCCAAAAGAAAGGGGAAAAAAGAAACAAGATAATTGCCCTTTTCCCCTGCATGCATTCATACGGGTGTTCTAATAAAAACTCTCCTGCCCTCACTGGGAGAAAACCATTACTATTTATAATACTGGAATGAGAGATTACGATACCAGCAAACTCATTTTTACCTGTGACCACTGCCTTATTAACCCCTACATGGTTCATTGACCCATAACCATTGAGTTCTTATCCTTTGATGTAATTAACCATTGCACGTCTAAAGCAAAGCCTCAAGGAAGAGGATATTCGATGGTATTGTACTTACTGCATTTAACCTCTTTTCCTTGGTACATAAGTTATTTTTTCTGCAAATTTTAAGCATCCCCTTGCTTTTTATATAATTTAGTTATTGATTCAGTGGTTTTCATGAGCATACACATGTAGAATTTGTGTGTGTGCGTGTGTGTGTGTATTATAGTATATATACATACATATACATATACACATATACACATACATACATATATATACAGTATATATACATATACGTCATATGTGTATGTGTATACACACACACACACACACACACACACACACACATATATATAGTTTTAAAA